CCCTCTTCATTTCCCAGTGGCGTCATACAGGGGGAGCCCGGGGCACATGCCCAGCTCATCACGTTCCATCCGTCCTTCAGCAAAGGGGCCCTGCTCAGTGTGGTGAGTCAGCTGCCGGGCGGGCTGCGGGAGACTTGGGGTGAGATGGAGCATCTGTGAGCCAAGGCCTGCCTTGGGCCCTGGCTCTGAGCGGCTCCTCTTGGCTCTCTGCAGTGCTGGTCCACAGGCCGGATCGCCCACATCCCTCTGTACTTCATCAATGCCCAGTTTCCCCGCTTTAGCCCGGTGCTTGGCCGGGTCTCAGAGCCCCCAATTGGGGGTGGAGGCTCTGTTCATGACCTGCCCCTCTTCACCGAAACATCCTCAGCCTCTGCCCTGTGGGACCCTCTCCCAGGGCCACCACCTGCTCGACCTCCGCCCCCGCTCTAATAAAAGTGTTCACTCGGTTCCCAGCTGCTGGCTGCTCTAGGTGTCCAGAGCTGAGCCCTTCCACAGGGCTGACAGGGCAATGACTTTCAGTAAATTGCTACTCTTGTCTGCCGGAGTGCCTGTGGTGGGTTTGAATCACCACCCTGTGGCTGGTGCTTACCTGTCTGTACTACCTATGACAAGCACAAATCACTGCCCGCTAGTTGAGCCAGCCAGGTACTTAGTGAGCCTACAGGGAGCTTCTGAATAGCTCTTTTTGTGAGCAAACAGCTACAGCTTTCTACCGTGGGCTAACTGGTGGGCTTGAACTGCCAACCTTGTAGTTAGCAGCCCTGTGCCCTAACCCACAGAGCCAGCAGGCTTCCTTTACACGACCTATAAGGAGGTGCTTTTAAAAGTATGGTCTTTGGGTTAAGAAAGATCCTAGCTCCGCTCCTTCTTAGCTACTTTTTAAATGAATTTGGGCTATCTGTAAATTTAAAAGTTTTAGTTACAAAATACACACCAGGGGCTTCAAAAAGCTCAAGGGAAAATGAAAAAATTTCCCCAACAACTTGAAAAGCTCCCCCCCATGTGTACCAAACCACTTGCCAACATGACCATGCAATTGCCACACAGTCCAGTGACATTAGTTGTGCACCCATTGCCACTCTTGCTTCCAAACAGAAGCCCAGTGCTTCTTACGTAAGACCTCTCCACCTACCCCTTCCACCTTCCCAGGAAACAGCAAACTTGCCTTTGCTCTAAGTGGGACCATACAGTGTCCTTTTGTGTTTGATGTACATATACTTCCCTTGACATGATGCTTTCATGTACCAACTCCATTGTTCATGTGCCAAGGCATGGCACACCACGTGGCTGTGCTGTGTTCTACTTTTCTGTCCGTCCGGTGCTGCTGATGGACTACACTCTTACAGCCACTGCCGTTTCCTAGTGGATGCTCAGCAGCCCCCTGGCCTTCAGAAAAGGCCCACACACACAGCTCAGCAGTTCGTAGGAGGGAAATACTGAACTTAACAAACACCTGACACCCAACAGACCTCTAATTTCTAAGTTTGAACAAGTCCTCAGAGAGGGCAGTGATGGGTCATTTTATTGGGCTGAGGGGCTCGTGGGAGGCACAGGTGCTGGACACTGGGCCAGTGTGGCACGGGCCATGCTCAGAGCACCCTCTCGGGTGTGGTGGCCACCAATGAAGCCGCTGGCGTGGACGAAGACACAGCCAGGGATCCCGGTGGCCTGGTCCAGGGCCTCGTCCCGAAGACCCCGCCATAGCTCTGGCAGGGGCAGCCTACAAGTGAGCAGAAAGGGAGACCTGAGAAACTGGGGGAGGGGAGGAAAGGGGAGTCCAGGTCGGCAGAGCGGGGGGCCTGAAGCAGGCCTGCAGATCTACGGGGTCTGGGGTCTCACCGGCTCTGGAATGAGTGAGGTTCCTTTGGCACACACTGCACCCGCCACTGTCCTGCTTGGTCAGTGTAGACGACAAAGGCAATGGCTACTGGGGGGGACAGCGCTGACTCCAGGTGGTAGAGGTGCTCCTTCCAGGGGCATCCACCTTTGGCAAGCTCCACTATTCTCCCACTGGTGTCCACCTGCAAGGGAGGTGGGGCCGGCTACAGGGTTTGGGACAGAACGCACTCGCGGTGACCACCGGCTACCGACGATCACTGACCCTTACACCACACCGCCACCTCCCACCCCTATACCTGGAACCGCTGGGCCAGGGCCTCTTCCACCAGGGCCCTGGCTGGTAGCCAGCTGTTCTGGTAGAAGTCTAGTCTTTGCAGAAACTCCTCTCGAACCAGATCCATTGCGCGCTGAAACCCTGCCTGGGAATCGTGGGAGTCAGTGCAGGCCCCATTGTTTTCTTACTTTCCTAGGGTCTAGACCAGCGGTGCTCAACCTTCCTAATGCCAAGACCCTTTAATGCAGTTCCTCATGCGGTGACCCGCCAACCATAAAGTTATTTTCATTGCTGCTTCATCACTGTAATTTTGCTACTGTTATGGATCGGGCGACCCCTGTGAAAGGGTCATTCGACCCCCAAAGGGGTTGTGAGCCACAGGTTGAGAACTGCTGGTCTAGACGCTGGCACACTGGTAATGGTTATGTGCTGGGTTTCTAATTTCAAGGTTAGCAGTATCAAAATCACTAGCTGCTTGTCGGGAGACAAGGCTTTCTACTCCCGTGCAGTCTCGGAAGCTCACGGGGACAGTCCTACCCTGTCCTACAGGGTCACTCAGTCCGCATCGACTGCATGGTAGTGAGTGAGGGGCTGGAATAGACAAAAGCTTCCACGTTCTCCTCCTGGGGTCCCCCTACCTCTGTGTCTTGGTTGGGCTGGTTCCAGGTGGGATTCAGTCGAGCCACTCTGGCACTCAGGGTAGTGGTCAGTGCATATCGAGGCTCCCCCTCCTCCCACTGGGCAATCCCATTGTCCACGGCGTCCACCTCCTCCACGAAGTTCTCGTACATCTAAGACAGCGGCAAGAGAAAGGCTCTGGAGGATCTGCACCACGGTCATACCTTTCCTGGGTCTTGAAGCCATGCTCACTCCCGCCAAGTCTTCAGTGGCCCGACAGTGTCTCAGCATCAACGGCGAGGAAAGTGAAGTGGGCGGTTCCGCGGCCTGTTCAGTCCACTGCGGACGGTGCTGCCACGGGAATGTCAAACCCGGTGCCATTCCATCGCAAAGCCCAAGCCAAGGCCTGCAAGTGTGGAGCAGGGTTGCTGAGTCTGGAATGCAGGGGTCTGTCTGTGCAGGGGAGCTGGATGGCTACAGGATAACAAGGGGGTGGGTGGGGCAGCAGCAAGCTAATGGATGGCACGGTTAGAGATGCCACCAGAGAGGTTGGCCACTAAAGGCAATGTGGGGGCAAGAAGACAGCCAGACTGGAAGTGCACCCAGGGAAGCCATGATGAGCCCTTGAGTCTCAACTTGGAAATGGGAAGACACTGCCTCAAGAGTTTGTGTGTGCTTAAAAAGATTAAAAAAAAACAAAACTAAGAAAGCAGAAATGGCTGTAACAGGACACTATCATTTAGAAAACCCTGATGAATTTTTTTGAGACCGATTTCATTTCAACCATTTAAAAGTACGATTCCGCCCGTTTTTAGTATATTCAACATGTTACATAATCACCACTATCACCTAATCCCAAAACATTTTTCTTTCCCAAAGAAAACTACTTCATACCCATCAGCTCCTGGCCATTGCTAATCTGCTTGCTATGGTCTCTGGACTTGCCCATTCCGGTCACTTCATAGAAATGCGGTCCACACGGCGGATTTGTCGAGGTCCGTCTGTGCTGGAGCATGTGGCAGCACTTCATTCCCTTACCAGCAAGAGTCCGCGTGTGTGGACCTACCACATTTTGCCCACCAGTTGGACATGTGGATGACTCCCACTGTTTTACTAAAGTGAATACTGCTATGCAGAACCTTCGTGTGACCTGTGTTTGGGCTAGAAGCTGTACTTCTGTTGGGTTTTTCGTGCAAGATACCATGCAAATGAGGGGCGTGCACATCAACACATCTCAAGAGTATGTGTAGCATCTCTCGGTCTGGACCCCAACCCCAATGCTCAGTCAAAAGCTGGGGTTTGACGGAATCAGCTGCTTAGAAGCCTCTGCAGTGGAAGGAAAACCTTTGGTGTTCTGAAAGGTTTGTTTTATTTGGCCTGTTCCCACTTACTCACTTTTCTGGATCTTACTCAAGCTATGCCAGAGGGCCAGAAAGCAGGGACGCCAAGGCACCTGAGCTCAGTAGCCAGGACCGCTAGCCTGGTTCCTTCCCCAGTGGCAGGACCCTGCTGTGCCGCCTACAGGGGACATGGGGGCAGTCTGGGTATTCCTATAGTCAAGTACTTCCCAGCTAAGCTTGCCACATGCCACCAAATGCAAGCACTTTTTTTTTTACCCAAACCTGTTGCGCAGTCATTTTTATAAGTCAGGTCAAGAAAGAGTCTGCGGAACACGTTCTGGTTTTCAAAGTCCCCCCATCTACTACCTCAGCACTCCTCATAACCACCCCAGGGTGTAGGCAGGTGTGCTGTTACCATGGCCTTGTGGGAGGATGCGCCTGTCTTAGGAGAATGCCGGGGCCAGCAACCCTGACCTAAAACCCAGGTCTTCATGCTGTGTGAGCACCCCTCCCTGCTGGCCTGGTGGAGATGCCTGTGGAGCAGACATCTCTGTCCTCGGGTCCCCACCTTGTCATAGATGGTGCCCACCATGCTGTCCTCTTCACTAGTGCCCAGCAACTGGGCCAGCAGCTTGTGCCCGAAGTGCAGATAGACGAGTCCCGCACTGCTCAGCTTGGTCTGCCAAGGCTTCCCAGGGGCCAGGGAGCTCATGGTCTCAGTGAAAGACCTGAGGGCACAGGGAGAGGAGGCTGAGGTGAAGGGGATGGTGCCAGGTACCCACAGCGTGTGTGCCCGCAGACCCTTGTGGGGGGCGGAGAGTCTTGACATGTTGGGAGGAGAGCTCAGCTGGAAAGGCTTGGGCTTCTCGGGTCAACACGGGCTTTAGCTTGGCATTCATCTCCTGCTTTCAAGTTCACCATCAGCCGAAGACAGACAACCTAGTGCTATTACACCTGAGTGAGGGGAGGAGACGCTTCTCAGGAAAAGACCCTTCAGGTCATCCTGAAAGGTAAATCTGTGGGTGTTCACCAGACACAAAGAACATTCCAGGCAGAGGGTGCAAACGTGCAAGGGCTAACAGAGGTCTCTTCGTGGAACCGCACGCAAGTCCTCCTGGGTGTGAGACGTGGGTGGCTGACGCTGTACGCCAGATAGGGCCTGGATTCTGGCAGGCCTGGGTGCCAGGCGCTGGAGTTATTGTAAGTAATGGCGAGCACCTGAGGGGTTTTAAGCAGGAAGCACATGCCTGAAAGAGCACTGTTGCAGCCAGCGAGGAGGACAGATGCACGTTACCTACAATGGTCCGGTGGGGATGTGGACAGCGGTGGGGCAGATGTCAAGGGAGTGGAAACTACAGCTGGGATGGATTTCTAAATACCAGTCCATCAGAAATGACCTAGACAGCTCATGCTTTCATGGTATTTATTACAAAATCATAAACAAAGTGCAAAAGGGTAATTAAAGAATGTAAAATATCAAGATTAGTGACATAATAGCTCCCACTACACACAAAATTCAAAACTCTACATGACCTTATAGTCAAATTTGCTAAAACTATACCCAGGAACAAGGGCATGATAAAGACAACATTTGGGTTGCTGCTTGCTTCTGGAAGGACGAAGAAATGGAATGGGAGCTGCACACCGGTGTAGACGCACCTAAGCTCAAGTGCTTAGGTTGGAGATAAGTGTAGGGGTGTTCACTTTATGTGTTATATTTCAGATGTGTTAAAATCGTTCACATGTATATAAAAAACTATGAAGAAAAAGGGTGGGGAGGAGAGGAAGTAGTAATAATATCTTGTGTCACAAATGGGTCAGGTAAGAAGACCCCACGGGGTGACTGTGAATTTGGTGCAGAGACCACTGTCGGCCTCCCCACAGCAGTTTCAGAGGAGATGAGGGTAGAAACCCCTTGTGAGGTGGGCAGGGAGGTGAGGGTAGTTAGTGGTGGAAATGCTTGTGAAAGAAAGGTGGGGCCAAAATCAGCAGCTCTAAAGAGAACTGAACAGGGAGGGCAAGAAATCAGGCCCTAGCTAGACAGAAGGGTTCCCCCAGGTGTTAGTTATAAAAAGCATTTTAAGTACAGTGTTAAGACTGAGATACAAAAACTTAAAAAGATCCTCATAATGCTTGAGAGAACACGACTGTAACCGGGTGGTGGGCTACATGAAGGGCGCCTCTTATTTTATCACTCACGCCTTGATTTCTTAATATGAGAGATGCTTGAGCAAAGTTTTAGGATGTGGAGATGGTAAAGGAGAAGCCACAGGTCGGAGTCCGACAAGCAGCCCTGGAGAAGAATGTGAGTGGCTGAAGCAAGGGCAGAGGCTTAGCTTCCGACAGAAGTTAACACTCCTCCTGAATGGCAGTGTTGTCGGTGGGAAACGTAGAAAGCCCAGGCACCCCACTGGAAAAGCAAGGGACAACCAGTGAGGGAACGTGAATGAGATGAGGGCGTGGGGGGCGGATTGGAATGGATGGCACTGTGGGTAAGGGGCTACCCTCCTTCGACAAGAAAGATTATCCAGTGGCAGAGTCTAAGTGAAAGAAAAGCATATGCCCACTGGAACCATCCCAGGCCCAGTGACCAAGGCTCTATCAGCTAGATGTGGGCAGCACGGGCAGGTGAAGGATTAATCTGGGTAGAGTTTTAGTTGGGGGGATGCCGGCTGATGGGAGAAAAGCCTGCCAGAGTCTAGGGTCATGACCCTCCGGAGGGGCTGCTGGGGAGCGGAGCGCGGGCCTGAGGCGGGCAAGTGGAAGGATGGAAGGAGGGGAGCCTGGAAGGCTAGTCGCAGCGGGGCAGCAGTTGGATTTCAATGACGCGTCCTCGGCGAGGGGGAGCACGGCGAAACGAGGACGTAACGACTTTGAAGAAACCGGACGGAGACCCACCTCTGGTGATGATCGTATCGATGTCTCCGAGGGTCGTACTCGCCGCCCACATCCACCACGATGTCACACGAGGCCAGTTTCTCAGGGTCCCGGGTCCGCACGATCTCTGCATCCTGCGGGCACACAGCACAAGAGGGGGCTGCCAGGAGTCGCGGTGCGACGGGATTACTGCTGGGCTTCCGGGGGAGGCGGGAAGAGGGTGCGGGGACGCCCGGGGGGGTGCGGTCGGCCGTACCCGGTAATCGGGCAGGAGGCGGAGCAGCGCGCACGCCAGCGCCTCGTCGCAGTGGAAAGTGCCGTTGTGCGTCCCGATCCGGGCTGGCGCCATGGGGTCGCTACGGGGACGTTTGCGGGGCGGCAGGGGCGCGGGGCCGAGCATGCGGGGCCGAGCCCGGGGCAAGAGCGGCAGCGGGGGCAGCAGCGGCGCGAGGCGGCGCAGGAAACGCGGGGACATGCGGAGGAGAGCAGCAACCCGGAAGAGGAAGTAACTGCGTACAGCTACTTCCGCTTGCCGGCCGTTCCTATGGCAACCGGCCAGCCAAGTATTTCTGTGGACAACTGGAAGGGCCCCTGGGGGGGAGCGGGGCCTCCAAACTGGGCACTGTTCACTGGGGCTCACCCATCCCCAATCCCTGATTCATGAACAAGCCCACAGGACCAATGCTCTGCCCGGCCGGCGTATTTATTAGCATTAAAACACAAGATCCACAAGACTGCCTCCCCACCCTTCCACATTTATGAGCATCAAAATACAAGATTCAGAAGACACCCCTTTCTCATTCTCTCTCTCTCTC